AAACACTCAGTGACGGACAGGTGAGCTACAGAAACACTCACTGACTGACAGGTGAGCTACAGAAACACTCAGTGACGGACAGGTGAGCTACAGAAACACTCACTGACAGGTGAGCTACAGAAACACTCAGTGACAGGTGAGCTACAGAAATACTCACTGACAGGTGAGCTACAGAAACACTCAGTGACAGGTGAGCTACAGAAACACTCAGTGACAGGTGAGCTACAGAAACACTCAGTGACAGGTGAGCTACAGAAACACTCAGTGACTGACAGGTGAGCTACAGAAACACTCAGTGACTGACAGGTGAGCTACAGAAACACTCAGTGACAGACAGGTGAGCTACAGAAACACTCAGTGACTGACAGGTGAGCTACAGAAACACTCAGTGACTGACAGGTGAGCTACAGAAACACTCAGTGACTGACAGGTGAGCTACAGAAACACTCAGTGACTGACAGGTGAGCTACAGAAACACTCAGTGACTGACAGGTGAGCTACAGAAACACTCACTGACTGACAGGTGAGCTACAGAAACACTCAGTGACTGACAGGTGAGATACAGAAACACTCAGTGACTGACAGGTGAGATACAGAAACACTCACTGACAGGTGAGCTACAGAAACACTCAGTGACTGACAGGTGAGATACAGAAACACTCACTGACAGGTGAGCTACAGAAATACTCAGTGACAGGTGAGCTACAGAAACACTCAGTGACGGACAGGTGAGCTACAGAAACACTCAGTGACGGACAGGTGAGCTACAGAAACACTCAGTGACGGAGAGGTGAGCTACAGAAACACTCAGTGACAGGTGAGCTACAGAAACACTCAGTGATGGACAGGTGAGCTACAGAAACACTCAGTGACTGACAGGTGAGCTACAGAAACACTGAGTGACGGACAGGTGAGCTACAGAAACACTCACTGACGGAGAGGTGAGCTACAGAAACACTCAGTGATGGACAGGTGAGCTACAGAAACACTCAGTGACTGACAGGTGAGCTACAGAAACACTGTGACGGACAGGTGAGCTACAGAAACACTCAGTGACAGGTGAGCTACAGAAACACTCAGTGACAGGTGAGCTACAGAAACACTCAGTGACAGGTGAGCTACAGAAACACTCAGTGACGGACAGGTGAGCTACAGAAACACTCAGTGACGGACAGGTGAGCTACAGAAACACTCAGTGACGGACATGTGAGCTACAGAAACACTCAGTGACAGGTGAGCTACAGAAACACTCACTGACGGACAGGTGAGCTACAGAAACACTCAGTGACAGGTGAGCTACAGAAACACTCACTGACGGACAGGTGAGCTACAGAAACACTCAGTGACTGACAGGTGAGCTACAGAAACACTCAGTGACAGACAGGTGAGCTACAGAAACACTCAGTGACTGACAGGTGAGCTACAGAAACACTCAGTGACTGACAGGTGAGATACAGAAACACTCAGTGACTGACAGGTGAGATACAGAAACACTCAGTGACAGGTGAGCTACAGAAACACTCACTGACAGGTGAGCTACAGAAACACTCAGTGACAGGTGAGCTACAGAAACACTCAGTGACGGACAGGTGAGCTACAGAAACACTCAGTGACAGGTGAGCTACAGAAATACTCAGTGACGGACAGGTGAGCTACAGAAACACTCAGTGACGGACAGGTGAGCTACAGAAACACTCAGTGACGGACAGGTGGGCTACAGAAACACTCAGTGACAGGTGAGCTACAGAAACACTCAGTGACGGACAGGTGAGCTACAGAAACACTCAGTGACTGACAGGTGAGCTACAGAAACACTCAGTGACTGACAGGTGAGCTACAGAAACACTCACTGACGGACAGGTGAGCTACAGAAACACTCAGTGACGGACAGGTGAGCTACAGAAACACTCAGTGACTGACAGGTGAGCTACAGAAACACTCAGTGACGGACAGGTGAGATACAGAAACACTCAGTGACAGGTGAGCTACAGAAACACTCAGTGACAGGTGAGCTACAGAAACACTCAGTGACGGACAGGTGAGCTACAGAAACACTCAGTGACAGGTGAGCTACAGAAACACTCAGTGACAGGTGAGCTACAGAAACACTCACTGACTGACAGGTGAGCTACAGAAACACTCAGTGACGGACAGGTGAGCTACAGAAACACTCAGTGACGGACATGTGAGCTACAGAAACACTCAGTGACAGGTGAGCTACAGAAACACTCACTGACGGACAGGTGAGCTACAGAAACACTCAGTGACAGGTGAGCTACAGAAACACTCAGTGACTGACAGATGAGCTACAGAAACACTCAGTGACAGGGGAGCTACATAAACACTCAGTGACTGACAGGTGAGCTACAGAAACACTCACTGACAGGTGAGCTACAGAAACACTCAGTGACTGACAGGTGAGCTACAGAAACACTCACTGACGGACAGGTGAGCTACAGAAACACTCAGTGACGGACAGGTGAGCTACAGAAACACTCAGTGACAGGTGAGCTACAGAAACACTCACTGACAGGTGAGCTACAGAAACACTCAGTGACGGACAGGTGAGCTACAGAAACACTCAGTGACTGACAGGTGAGCTACAGAAACACTCAGTGACTGACAGGTGAGCTACAGAAACACTCACTGACTGACAGGTGAGCTACAGAAACACTCAGTGACGGACAGGTGAGCTACAGAAACACTCACTGACAGGTGAGCTACAGAAACACTCAGTGACAGGTGAGCTACAGAAACACTCACTGACAGGTGAGCTACAGAAACACTCAGTGACAGGTGAGCTACAGAAACACTCAGTGACAGGTGAGCTACAGAAACACTCAGTGACGGACAGGTGAGCTACAGAAACACTCAGTGACTGACAGGTGAGCTACAGAAACACTCAGTGACTGACAGGTGAGCTACAGAAACACTCACTGACTGACAGGTGAGCTACAGAAACACTCAGTGACGGACAGGTGAGCTACAGAAACACTCACTGACAGGTGAGCTACAGAAACACTCAGTGACAGGTGAGCTACAGAAACACTCACTGACAGGTGAGCTACAGAAACACTCAGTGACTGACAGGTGAGATACAGAAACACTCAGTGACGGACAGGTGAGCTACAGAAACACTCAGTGACAGGTGAGCTACAGAAACACTCAGTGACAGGTAGGGTTGGGTACCGAAATATTGACCGCCATTTCCTTTATGAAGTGAACCAGCCTCCCTGTCATCCCCGGACTGTGAGACAGACTCGGAGGAGCACAGGGATGTCAGTATTGTTTATGAAGCAGGGCATAGAAAATACATTATTTAAATGAAAATACAATTTATTTACTTTTACAAACAGTGAGCAGCTGGGCAGCTGCAGTATGTGTATTGCAGGACATGTGTGGTTGGACTCTGACCCACAGGCAGGTTGCAGTGTAACATCAGAGGAGACTGGGCCAATTGTACATTCTCAAACTGCACCACTTATGCTGCGTTCACACCGGACGCGATGCGATGTTTGGGGGCGGCGCGATTACATGTAAAGTCAATGCAGAGACGCGGACAGATGCGAATTCGCTCCGACGGCGAGCATGAAGCGGTGGACGCGGCGCGAATCACACGATTGAGGCGATTGAACTGTGCCGCGTCAAACAATGATATTCACCTAACTGTGTGCGACGCTTGAATTGAACATTGTGAACCCAGACATGACGGCGTTTGTTGAAATGTTTGTAGGACTTCCACAGAAGGTACAAAGCAGCAATAGTTGTTATATCCTCCATAGTCAAGGACAGAAATAACCTAAACGATCTTGCATGGAAGTGTAAACAACCTCAACTGCCCGTCAACGGCGCGGCGCGTCAACGGTATGTCTGTTTGAATGACGCGATAAAACAAACTGCAAGCCGCGCTGAAACTTGAGCGATTGGAGCGATGCGAATATTCGCATTGCGTGCGGTGTGAACGCAGCATTAGGACTAACTAAACAATGCAGAGATTATTTTAATATAATTGTATTCAATAACCGCAAGAAAATTAAACAGTATGAAGTGATTTTTTTTAAATAGGAATTCAGAGATTACTTAATGTTTTCATAAATATATTTTTCTCCTATTGAAATTGGAATGGGACTTTTTTTTACCCTCTCAAAGAACCAGAATCGAGAACCGAAAATAACCGGAATCGAAAAGCAGAACCGGAATCAGAACCTGAATCGTTAAAATCCAAACGATACCCAACCCTACTGACAGGTGACGGACAGGTGACTGACAGGTGACTGACAGGTGACTGACAGGTGACTGACAGGTGACTGACAGGTGACTGACAGGTGACTGACAGGTGACTGACAGGTGACTGACAGGTGACTGACAGGTGACGGACAGGTGACGGACAAGTGACTGACAGGTGACGGACAGGTGACGGACAGGTGACGGACAGGTGACGGACAAGTTACTGACAGGTGAGCTATACAGGAACACTAACTGACGGACAGGTGACAGACAGGTGACGGACAGGTGACGGACAGGTGACGGACAGGTGACGGACAGGTGACGGACAAGTTACTGACAGGTGAGCTATACAGGAACACTAACTGACGGACAGGTGACGACAGGTGACGGACAGGTGACGGACAGGTGACGGACAGGTGACGGACAAGTTACTGACAGGTGAGCTATACAGGAACACTAACTGACGGACAGGTGACAGACAGGTGACGGACAGGTGACTGACAGGTGACGGACAAGTGACTGACAGGTGAGCTACAGGAACACTAACTGACGGACAGGTGACAGACAGGTGACGGACAGGTGACGGACAGGTGACAGACAGGTGACGGACAGGTGACAGACAGGTGACGGACAGGTGACTGACAGGTGACTGACAGGTGACTGACAGGTGACGGACAAGTGACTGACAGGTGAGCTACAGGAACACTAACTGATGGACAGGTGACCGTCAGGTGACCGACCACCACAACTGACTTTTCTCTGACTGCTTCCAGGGAGGAGGGGTGCACGAGGAGCTCCAAGAAGATAAAGCAGACAAAGAAGATGAAAGAGGAAATATTGATGGGTTCAACCAGACAGAAACCGTCAACGGGACGACGAGCCGGCCCCCCCGAGACTTTCTGGAGGATTTCCTGCACAGGTGAACAAAGTTTTCTTCTTTGACAATGTCATCTTACAGCTCCTTTAGTGGTCGTAGTGGTCCTTCAGTGGTACTTCAGTGGTACCACTCATCCTTCAGGTGGTACCTCTAATCCTTTAGGTGGTTTCTTAAATCCTTTAGATCAGGGGTGGGGAACCTCCGGCCTCCGGGCCGTATATGGGCCGCGAGACCATTTGATACGGCCCTCGAGGTAATTTATAAACACACGCTAAAAATAAAAAAATTTAAGAAATCTAGACCGCAAAATAATTAAACAAGCGAGTGCCTGTTTTTCCTGGCCAAGGTCAGGGTCCTTGAACACAACATAAGCCTAACATGTCATCACGTGGTATATGTCTCGTCTGACAGGGGTGCAGAGTGGAGATGTTTCAACAACAAGGTGGAGGGAGAGCTCTCTCCTGTCAGACTGAGAGCCTCTGATAACCTTAGCTCAGGTGAGGTTAAGGACTCTCTGGGTGTTTAGATAGTTCACTTAGTCACTTATCTCAGTGGGTCTCAAACGGTTTGGTCACCATTTATGTAAACACATATTTCCATTTGAGGGGGGAGTGATTATTAAAATATGCATGAATAAAAAGAAAGAAAATGTTGACTAGGTGAAAAAAGGTAAGATACACTTTTAAAGTCTTTGCTGGTGCCTCAAAGAGGAGCAGGGGGAGAGGGGGGAGAGGGGGGAGACAGGTGAGGCTGGTTCAGGAGCCCAGACACACTCGCAACTTTAAATGAAATGAAAATAAATAAATAAACAAGTTTCAATGTATTTTCATATTGGAAATGGTATGTTGTTAGTTATGGCCATGATTTTATGATTATTGAAATGTATACAGTTCTGTTTCATATAGGTGTTTCCATAGATCTGGTCTCTTTATTTTCCCCTCAAAGTGCACCAGATTGATGCATTTAACTCCAAAATAAAAAATTAAATCTTACCGGGGGGGCATGCCCCGGACCCCCCTAGAGGATTTGAGGTCCACCCCCACTTAAGATATGTTCACATGGATAGGTTTCTATATATATTTGCACATTTCTTTTAAATAGTAACCCATGGCAGCAACGCTGTAAATATTGACAAATAAATCCAGAAAAATGGCACAAAAACTGGTAGTGGCCTGGCTGGGTGTATAATGTTTGAGTGTGTGTGTGCGTGCGTCCTTCAGGTGGTACTACTCATCCTTCAGGTGGTACTACTCATCCTAGAGGTGGTAATACTCATCCTAGAGGTGGTACCTCTCATCCTAGAGGTGGTACTACTCATCCTAGAGGTGGTACCTCTCATCCTAGAGGTGGTACTACTCATCCTATAGGTGGTACTACTCATCCGTCAGGTGGTAATACTCATCCTAGAGGTGGTACTACTCATCCTAGAGGTGGTACCTCTCATCCTAGAGGTGGTACTACTCATCCTATAGGTGGTACTACTCATCCTAGAGGTGGTACTACTCATCCTATAGGTGGTACTACTCATCCTATAGGTGGTACTACTCATCCGTCAGGTGGTAATACTCATCCTAGAGGTGGTACTACTCATCCTAGAGGTGGTACTACTCATCCTAGAGGTGGTAATACTCATCCTTCAGGTGGTACCTCTCAATCAATCAATCAATGTTTATTTATATAGCCCAATATCACAAATGTTACATTTGTCTCAGTGGACTTCACAGTTTGTACAGAATATCAGTATGACAATACGACACCCTCTGTCCTTAGACCCTTTGTCCTTAGACCCTCTGTCCTCAGACCCTCTGTCCTCAGACCCTCTGTCCTTAGACCCTCTGTCCTTAGACCCTCACATTGTACAAGGAAAAACTTCTGAAGAAAACCCATAGTTTTAAAGGGAACATGGGAGAAACCTCAGGGAGAGCAACAGAGGAGGGATCCCTCTCCCAGGACGGACAGACGTGCAATAGATGCCGTGTGTAAATTGAAAAGATAATACATTTGCAACATAGGTAGTCCAAATGTTTGGAAATGCATGTGTGTATAATAGGAAGATGAATCCACGAGGATATCCATCCAGGACCTATGATCCACGACCACAGCCACGACTCAAGATCCAGGGCTCGCGATCCAGGACAGAGGAGCGCAGGATCATCCATGACTCCGGATCCCGGCGTATATAGACACCAAAAAGAAAGACATGTGGGGAAGCTGGGTTAATTGGAACATGAGAGTACACAGGTATAGACAGAGAGAAGGAAGAAGTAAGATGTCCCCCGACAAACTAAGCCTATATCAGCAAAACTATGGGCTGAATCTAATCAGCCCTAACGATAAGCTTTATCAAAAAGGAAGGTCTTAAGCGCACTCTTAAAAACGGATAGGGTGTCTGCCGCCCGAACACAAACTGGAAGCTGATTCCACAAATGTGGAGCTTGATAAGAAAAGGCTCTGGCTCCCATTGTACTTTTAGAGACTCTAGGAACAACCAACAACCCTGCATTCTTGGAACGCAATGCCCTAGTAGGACAGTAGGGTATAATGAGTTATTTAAGGTAAGATGGCGGCTGCCCATTAAGGGCTTTGTAGGCGAGAAGAAGAATTTTAAATTCTATCCTGTGTTCTATAGGGAGCCAGTGTAAGGCAGCCAGAACAGGAGTAATGTGGTCCCTTTTCCTAACTCTGGTTAGTACACGAGCCGCAGCATTTTGAATCAGCTGAAGCCACTTGACTGACTTCTTGGTACACCCTGATAATAAAGAGTTACAATAATCCAGCCTTGAAGTAACAAATGCATGGACTAGTTTCTCTGCATCGTTTTGAGGCAAGATATGCCTGATTTTTGCAATGTTACGTAGATGGAAGTAGGCGGTCCTTGAAATTGATTTTATGTGGGCGTTAAAGGATAAATCCTGATCAAATATAACACCAAGATTCCTTACAGTCTCACTGGAGGCCAAATTAATGCCATCCATAGTTAGTATATCTTTAGATAGTTTGTTTCGTAGATTCTTCGGGCCAAGTACAATAACTTCAGTTTTGGTCGTGTTTAACATCAAAAAGTTTAAGGTCATCCACGTTTTTAAGTCCTTGAGGCAGTCTTGAATTTTATTTAGATGATTCATTTCATCAGGCCTGATTGATAAATATAGTTGAGTATCATCCGCATAACAATGAAAGTTTACAGAATGATTCCTTATAATATTGCCTAACGGAAGCATATATAATGTGAACAAAATAGGTCCGAGCACTGAGCCCTGTGGCACTCCATGGCTAACTTTGGTTTGCGTGGAAGATTCATCATTGACACGTACAAACTGAGAGCGTTCAGATAGATAGGACCTAAAGCAGCCTAAAGCAGTTCCCTGTATGCCAACTAAGTGCTCTAGTCTTTGCAATAAGATATCATGGTCGATAGTATCAAATGCAGCACTGAGATCGAGCAAAACAAGAATAGAGACACGTCCCTTGTCAGAGGCTATTAGAAGGTCATTTGTGACTTTAACCAGAGCTGTCTCTGTGCTATGATGTGTTCTAAAGCCAGACTGAACATCTTCAAATAAATCATTGTTTTTTAAGTAATCAACTGTTTTGCGACCGCTTTCTCAAGAATTTTTGAGAGGAACGGAAGATTAGAAATAGGTCTATAATTGGCTAAAACCTCTGGATCGAGGTTGTGCTTTTTAAGAAGCGGTTTTATCACTGCTACTTTGAATGATTGTGGAACATAGCCTGATAATAAAGACATATTCATAATATTTAATAAATACGTGCTAATTAATGGAAAACCTTCCTTCAACAGCTTAGTTGGAATTGGGTCTAACATACACGTTGATGGTTTAGAAGAGAGAATCATTGAATTTAATTGTTCAAGGTTTATGGCTGAAAAGCATTCTAGTTTACTATCTAGTGTAATATTAGAACTTACGTTTCTGGGAGCTGTTGATAACACTATTCTGGTCAAAGGCAAGAGGTCATTAATTTTGTTTCTAAGAGTAACAATGTTATCGTTAAAAAAGCACATCAAATCATTACTACTGAGTGCTATGGGAATAGAAGGCTCAATCGAGCTGTGGCTCTCTGTCAGCCTGGCTACAGTGCTGAAAATAAATCTTGCATTATTCTTATTCTCATCTATTAATGAAGAGTAGTAGGCTGCTCTCGCTTTACGCAGTGCTTTCTTATATTCATTGAGAGTAATATGCCAAATTAAACGAGATTCTTCAAGTTTAGTGGAACGCCATATCCTTTCAAGTTGTCTCGACTTTTGCTTTATTTTGCGGGTTTGGGCATTATGCCATGGAGCTAATCTATGTTGTTTTATTTTCTTCTTTTTCAAAGGAACAACAGAGTCTAATTTTATTCGCAGCGCATCTGTAGCACTATCAACAACATGATCAATTTGGGGTGGTGTACATTTTGTATAAGTTTCCTCCCTTACATGCAGACATGCTATCGAGTTAAGTATTGGTGGAATCTCTTCCTTAAATGTGGCTATAGCACTAACAGATAGGTTTCTGCTGCAGGAGCTTTTGACTAATGCTTTGTAGTCTCGTAACAGTACTTCAAAAGTTACTAAGAAATGGTCGGATAAAGCAGGATTATGCGGTTCGACTAATAGTTGCTCAATTTCAATATCATAAGTCAGAACAAGGTCGAGAGTGTGATTATAGCAGTGGGTTGGTTTATTTACACTCTGACAAAAACCAACAGAATCTAATATAGAGTTAAATGCAACAGTAAGGCTATTTGTATCATCGTCAACATGAATATTAAAGTCACCTACGATAATGACTTTATCTGTTTTAAGAACCAACGTTGATAAAAACTCAGAGAATTCAGATAAGAAGTCTGAATAAGGACCTGGTGCACGGTACACTGTAACAAATAAGATTGGCTGCAAAGTTTTCCAGGTCGGATGCGTAAGACTAAAAACGAGACTTTCAAAGGAGGTATAATTTAATTTTGGTTTAGTATTGATAAGTAAACTTGAGTCAAAGATTGCTGCAACTCCACCTCCTCGGCCCACGCCTCTCATCCTATAGGTGGTATTACTCATCCTAGAGGTGGTACTACTCATCCTAGAGGTGGTACTACTCATCCTAGAGGTGGTACTACTCATCCTAGAGGTGGTAATACTCATCCTATAGGTGGTAATAATCATCCTAGAGGTGGTACCTCTCATCCTAGAGGTGGTACTACTCATCCTAGAGGTGGTAATACTCATCCTAGAGGTGGTACCTCTCATCCTAGAGGTGGTACTACTCATCCTAGAGGTGATACCTCTCATCCTAGAGGTGGTACTACTCATCCTAGAGGTGGTAATACTCATCCTAGAGGTCGTACTACTCATCCTTCAGGTGGTACCTCTCACTCTATAGGTGGTACTACTCATCCTAGAGGTGGTAATACTCATCCTAGAGGTGGTACTACTCATCCTTCAGGTGGTACCTCTCATCCTATAGGTGGTACTACTCATCCTTCAGGTGGTAATACTCATCCTAGAGGTGGTAATACTCATCCTAAAGGTGGTACTACTCATCCTATAGCAGTGGCGTTTTCTCCTGGAGGCCAAGGGAAGCCAGGCTTCCCCTGTTTTTTCGATTGTAGTTATATAATTGTAATAAATAAATAAAAACACTTGGTTTAGTTTCGGAAATTCTTTGTTGTGTGTTGCTGCCGGTCCATCTCTCCCCCATTCTCATTGAATATTTTACAAAGAGTGAAACAGCGCCCCTCTAGATGTTATGGTGGAACAGTAGATTGCACTCACTGTTGTGAGAGGAGGCTAGCCGAAATTGGCTTCCCTTGGTGAAAAAAAATGGAGGGATTGACCAATCAGACAAGGCTCACGTCATGCCCCTGCCAACCTGTGATTGGTCAGGGCCATGCCAAGGGAAGCCAGAGGTGGCTGGCTTCCCTTGCCTCACAATCCAATCAAATCGCATCAACTTAGTGTTGCAGTGACGCATCCTAAAATCCGGAAGTAAGCTGCTCTCGGTTTCCCTCGACAGAAAGCAATGAGATTTCTCCATAGGATTTTGGAAAATAGCTCGAAATAAGGTCAGTGTAAAACTAACCTGTTAGATAAATGCACGTTGTGTTCAGTCGGATAATATCCACATGTCTACCCTACTTTTATCATTTTCGAATCATAAATCTAATCGATAGAAGATAGACACTGCACCACTCTCACCGCCGTTAGAAAGTAGCAAGCAACTGAAGCAAGTGCAATTATGGAGGGTGGAGATTTGGAGTATTTACTCAAACATAATTGTACTAAACTTCCACTACAGCAGCAACAACAAATACAATCTGATGACAGGCCGATGCCCAAACTGGAGCTGTGTACAGAGAGGAACAAAGGAGCGAATCGGACGTAAAATGTTAAAGGTCTCCTGATTTAGTTTGTGAATGAATGCTTATTAGAGTTTGGGCTGGAGAGTGCGCGGACCTGTCGGTTAGATAACAGGCGTGTGTAAGTCCTGCATCTGTATGATACAAATGTGTGTAAAATGATACCGGGTGCTGTAATCACTCATCTGGTTACATTATTACATTGACCACCACACCCCCCCCGACCCAAAAGAAAAGACGTATTATTGGCTTCCCCTAATTTTTTCCCCACGCCACGCTACTGTCCTATAGGTGGTACTACTCATCCTAGAGGTGTTAATACTCATCCTAGAGGTGGTAATACTCATCCTATAGGTGGTACTACTCATCCTATAGGTGGTAATACTCATCCTATAGGTGGTACTACTCATCCTATAGGTGGTACTACTCATCCTATAGGTGGTAATACTCATCCTATAGGTGGTACTACTCATCCTATAGGTGGTAATACTCATCATAGAGGTGGTAATACTCATCCTATAGGTGGTAATCATCATCCTATAGGTGGTAATACTCATCCTATAGGTGGTAATAATCATCCTAGAGGTGGTAATACTCATCCTTGAGGTGGTACTACTCATCCTTTAGGTGGTACTACTCATCCTAGAGGTGGTAATACTCATCCTATAGGTGGTAATAATCATCCTAGAGGTGGTACTACTCATCCTTGAGGTGGTACTACTCATCCTTTAGGTGGTACTACTCATCCTAGAGGTGGTAATACTCATCCTATAGGTGGTAATAATCATCCTAGAGGTGGTAATACTCATCCTAGAGGTGGTACTACTCATCCTTTAGGTGGTACTACTCATCCTAGAGGTGGTACTACTCATCCTAGAGGTGGTAATACTCATCCTATAGGTGGTAATACTCATCCTATAGGTGGCACTATTCATCCTAGAGGTGGTACTACTCATCCTAGAGGTGGTAATACTCATCCTATAGGTGGTAATACTCATCCTATAGGTGGCACTATTCATCCTAGAGGTGGTAATACTCATCCTAGAGGTGGTACTACTCATCCTTTAGGTGGTACTACTCATCCTAGAGGTGGTAATACTCATCCTAGAGGTGGTAATACTCATCCTATAGGTGGTAATACTCATCCTATAGGTGGTAATAATCATCATAGAGGTGTTAATACTCATCCTAGAGGTGGTAATACTCATCCTATAGGTGGTACTACTCATCCTATAGGTGGTAATACTCATCCTATAGGTGGTAATAATCATCCTAGAGGTGGTAATACTCATCCTAGAGGTGGTACTACTCATCCTTTAGGTGGTACTACTCATCCTAGAGGTGGTAATACTCATCCTAGAGGTGGTAATACTCATCCTATAGGTGGTACTACTCATCCTATAGGTTGTAATACTCATCCTATAGGTGGTACTACTCATCCTATAGGTGGTAATAATCATCCTAGAGGTGGTAATACTCATCCTAGAGGTGGTACTACTGATCCTATAGGTGGTACTACTAATCCTAGAGGTGGTAATAATCATCCTAGAGGTGGTAATACTCATCCTAGAGGTGGTAATACTCATCCTATAGGTGGTACTACTCATCCTAGAGGTGGTACTACTCATCCTAGAGGTGGTAATACTCATCCTAGAGGTGGTACCTCTCATCCTATAGGTGGTACTACTCATCCTAGAGGTGGTAATAATCATCCTAGAGGTGGTAATACTCATCCTATAGGTGGTAATACTCATCCTTCAGGTGGTACCTCTCATCCTAGAGGTGGTACTACTCATCCTTTAGGTGGTGCTCGATGGCCTTCGGTTTGTTCTAGTGGTATTAGATGTATTTTGGTTGGTTGTATTGCGCTACCATGTTCCATGTCTCCACAGGTATCTCTACTCTGATAGGCTGAAGGTCTTCGGTCCTCTAATCATGGGCATCGGGATCTTCCTTTTCATCTGTGCGAACGCCGTCCTGCATGAGAACCGAGACAAGAAGACGAAGGTGATCAACCTGCGGGACATTTACTCCACGGTCATCGACCTGCACAGCCTCCGAAAACCCAACGCCTCGTCCTCCGTGGTGAACCCTCTCAACGGACTCGTCAACTACGTCCAGTCCAAGAGCCTGGAGACCAAACCCAGGGCTTACCCCGCCTCGCTGAGCCGGAAGGAGGGGGGGGGAGGAGGAGGAGAAGGAGGGGGAGATGTGATACCGCTGTCCAAAGGGGGAGGTGATGGATCTCAGGATAATGGTGGAGGTGAGGAAGGAGACCCGGTGTTCAGTATCTTCCAGGATCAGCCAGCTTCTCCCCCTCTCCCCCCATCCTCCCATAGGCTCTCCCTCCCCCCCAGCTTCAACCCCCCCCAACTCTCCCTGCAGAAGGAGGTGCTCACCTCCTCCACCCTCCCCCTGCGCCGCCCCCGCGCCGACTCCCCCTGCAGGAGGCACTCGGATCAGGGGGGGAGTAAGAGGGATTACTTGAGGAGTGAGCGGGAGGTTAATGCATGTCCTCCCCCTCCCCTCCCTCAGAACTCATCAGCAGCTTCCTGCAGTTCCTCAAGTCTCCACAGGGAGGTGCCATCAGGATCCCTGTCTCACCTCCTCCTCCCCCACGCCTCCCCACTCTGCAGGAGGCGGAGCCTGCCGAGCGGGGGGGGGGTACAGTAAACTGACTCACGGCGAGGACGAGTCATTTGAGTCTACGTCATCGCATCACATGGGTCAGAGGTCGGGGGAAGTGACATCACACAGGAAGTACTCCAACAAGGAGAAGCTGAGGATGATCTCACAGGAGGCGGGATGGCCAATCAGGAGCTGAGTCTGTGATTGACAGCACAAGTCTTTGATGACATCACACCAGGAAGTGGTCTTTATTTCTGCTGCCGGAGGAATCACATGTTGTAGCAATAAGGAAGTCTTCCAGAGCGACCAATGGCAGCTTGTTAGAAACTGACTCAGCACATCGTCCGGTTTCAGATGATCATCCACAGACAGGTTTCTTTAAGACTAACGGCGCGTGTCCATTGGACGTGTTTCTGGACTCCTGATTGGACAGGATGTGTCCGGTTGTTTAATGAGTAGTTTGCTGAAAGTGAACTTGAGGTGTAACGACCCTGAACCTGTCCTCTCTGAAGACTCGAGACCAGTTTCCAGAGACCCTGGACCGCTCTGATCTGCAGGACGTTTTTTACATTATGAAGACTCCCAGAATGCCTTGCACGGATTTCTAACATAGCTAATGAGTGGGGGCCATGTTGGACCCTGTGGACTCGAACCGGGACTCAACAATCCTATTGTTTTAAACAATTTGCTTTATGCTAATGCAATGCATGCTGGGATCAGCGCTGTGCCAGAACTGGTTTCTATTTTGCTTTTATATTTAGTTTGGTTTTATACAAACTGGTTTCAGCTGGTTCCCCGGAGGAAGGTGTTCCAGTGATAATCAGCAGGGGGCGCTCACAGATCGGGACTCACTGTTTACATCTGTGTTGACAGAAACCGGACAGTTTGTTCTCCTCTAAGCACAATATTAACTTTAGACACAAACAGGAGGGTTTGGACTGCAGGGAGTGAACCCTGAACCTGAACCGTGTCGGGGTTTAGACCTCTGATGATAAGCTGTGAATCCCTTTACTGTCGGTCCATCAGCACGAAACTGATAAATATACTCTGAGGTTTAAATGAGTCCAACCAGACTTCCTGTTGTTTCTTCCTGTTTCCTGTGAGTCAAACTCAGAAATCAGAATAAAGCACATTATTAACGTCTTTATTTCCACAGATTGACTTGTTTCACAGAAGGGCGTACAGTTATCAGTCAGATACAGATTCAACATTTCCTCCAGTGTCATCAGCTCTGTTAGCTCAGACTACAAACACATGTTTATCCTGTTTGAATGAAGCATGAACTACACATGATGTCAGTATGATATAAAGGAACATATAAGGTCGTTCTGTAGCCTGTAGTTTACACACCTGTCAGTCTACTGAACAGGTGTTTGTTACCTGTGTTATTGTCATGTCACATGGTCTACAGCAGTTAGGGTGAGACCCCCATTTCCCTCGTTAAATACTGCACATGTTTTCCTGAAATAAGATCCCAGAGTACGGGTCACTTCCTGTGACTAACAGTTCCCCCCCCATGACTCAGTTAATGTGGGCGTGTCAGCAGCATCGTCCAATCACAAACAGCTTCCAGGTTTTCCAGGAAGTGATTATCCCTGCAGTTATTGCTCCTCAGTGATCAGGAGGTAAGCCCCACCTCCTGGCTGCTGCTATTGGTCACACAGCTCAACGCCTCGTCCACTTGATGAGCGTCTCCGGGGATCGGTACAGGAAGATCAGTTTGGCGTAGAGCTCCTCCTCCAGCTCCAGCTCACCTGTCTCTCTCACCTGGACAACAGAAGGCCAATCAGAACACATCACAGCATCCAATCACGTCCTCACACAGCTAACGAGGCCATCAAACAGCATCATCTGGGACCCAAAGCATACTCTAACAGAGAATATGAACTGCTACCATCTGATGGAGATTCACTAAAGTCAGCCTGAAGCATCCTCTCAGTGAACACAGAGCTACAGATCAGATGCACGCTGAAGGCTCTTTGAGCATCTCTCACTGATCCTGCTGTTATGTTACATGTTTGTTTCTCATGTGTCTTGATATGTGTCTGTTGATGTTACACATGGAGCTGCTGTGATGCAAGGAGCATTTCAGACTCCATTAAAGCATTATCCTATCCTATGGTGTTGTATGGTTATCATATCGTATGGTATAGGTTATCCTATCGTATCGTATTGTTATCGTATGATATGGTTATGGTATCATGTCGTTATGGAATGGAATGGTATGGTATCATGTCGTTATGGAATGGAATGGTATGGTATCATGTCGTTATGGAATGGAATGGTATCATGTCGTTATGGTATGGTATGGTATCATGTCGTTATGGAATGGAATGGTATGGTATCATGTCGTTATGGAATGGAATGGTATCATGTCGTTATGGTATGGTATGGTATCATGTCGTTATGGAATGGAATGGTATCATGTCGTTATGGAATGGAATGGTATGGTATCATATTGTTATGGAATGGAATGGTATGGTATCATGTCGTTATGGAATGGAATGGTATGGTATCATATTGTTATGGAATGGAATGGTATGGTATCATGTCGTTATGGAATGGAATGGTATGGTATCATGTCGTTATGGAATGGTATGGTAGGGTATCATGTCGTTATGGAATGGAATGGTATGGTATCATGTCGTTATGGAATGGTATGGTATGGTATCATGTCGTTATGGAATGGTATGGTATCATGTCGTTATGGAATGGTATGGTATCATGTCGTTATGGAATGGTATGGTAGGGTATCATGTCGTTATGGAATGGAATGGTATGGTATCATGTCGTTATGGAATGGTATGGTATGGTATCATGTCGTTATGGAATGGTATGGTATCATGTCGTTATGGAATGGTATGGTATCATGTCGTTATGGAATGGTATGGTATCATATTGTTATGGAATGGAATGGTATGGTATCATGTCGTTATGGAATGGTATGGTATCATGTCGTTATGGAATGGAATGGTATGGTATCATGTCGTTATGGAATGGTATGGTATGGTATCATGTCGTTATGGAATGGAATGGTATGGTATCATGTCGTTATGGAATGGTATGGTATCATGTCGTTATGGAATGGAATGGTATGGTATCATGTCGTTATGGAATGGTATGGTATGGTATCATGTCGTTATGGAATGGTATGGTATGGTATCATGTCGTTATGGAATGGTATGGTATGGTATCATGTCGTTATGAAATGGTATGGTATCATATTGTTATGGAATGGAATGGTATGGTATCATGTCGTTATGGAATGGTATGGTATCATATTGTTATGGAATGGAATGGTATGGTATCATGTCGTTATGGAATGGTATGGTATCATATTGTTATGGAATGGTATGGTATGGTATCATGTCGTTATGGAATGGCATGGTATCATATTGTTATGGAATGGAATGGTATGGTATCATATCGTTATGGAATGGTATGGTATCATGTCGTTATGGAATGGAATGGTATCATGTCGTTATGGAATGGTATGGTATGGTATCATATCGTTATGGAATGGAATGGTATGGTATGGTATCATGTCGTTATGGAATGGAATGGTATCATATTGTTATGGAATGGAATGGTATGGTATCATATCGTTATGGAATGGTATGGTATCATGTCGTTATGGAATGGAATGGTATCATGTCGTTATGGAATGGTATGGTATGGTATCATATCGTTATGGAATGGAATGGTATGGTATCATGTCGTTATGGAATGGAATGGTATGGTATCATGTCGTTATGGAATGGAATGGTATCATGTCGTTATGGAATGGAATGGTATGGTATCATATCGTTATGGAATGGAATGGTATGGTATCATATTGTTATGGAATGGAATGGTATGGTATCATGTCGTTATGGAATGGAATGGTATCATGTCGTTATGGAATGGTATGGTATGGTATCATGTCGTTATGGAATGGAATGGTATGGTATCATATCGTTATGGAATGGAATGGTATGGTATCATGTCGTTATGGAATGGAATGGTATGGTATCATGTCGTTATGGAATGGTATGGTATGGTATCATGTCGTTATGGAATGGAATGGTATCATGTCGTTATGGAATGGTATGGTATGGTATCATGTCGTTATGGAATGGAATGGTATCATGTCGTTATGGAATGGTATGGTATGGTATCATATCGTTATGGAATGGAATGGTATGGTATCATGTCGTTATGGAATGGTATGGTATGGTATCATGTCGTTATGGAATGGAATGGTATCATGTCGTTATGGAATGGTATGGTATGGTATCATATCGTTATGGAATGGAATGGTATCATATTGTTATGGAATGGAATGGTATGGTATCATATTGTTATGGAATGGAATGGTATCATGTCGTTATGGTATGGTATCGTGTGGTTACCAGGAAGATGTCGGTGCAGAGTTTGAGGATGCGGTCGACGCAGGGCAGCTCCTCGAACATGATGGAGTGACTGATCCCGCTGAAGAACTCGCGGACAAATTTCCCGATGACCAGAACCACGGACGCGTACAGACCCATGATGCTGGGGGGGGATAATACCTCAGTTACTGCAGTACATATATAATATAGTATAAATATGTAGTATTTAAAGTAGGGCTGTCAAACGATTACAAATTTTAATCAGATTAATCACAACTTAAAAATTAAAAATAACCCTAATCATGATTAATCACCATTCGAACTATGTCCAAAATATGCCATTTATTTATGTATATTGTTGTGGGAATGGAAAGATAAATGAAAGAAGGCGGATATATCCATTTAACATACAGTATCTATGTTTATTATAACATTTTTCTGCGTGTCAAAATGAAAGACAATTAACCCACACACCTATCAATCATCAAACCGTGGGGTCTTAATTCATTACGTGTTGATTTCCATCAACGGGGAGTACTTCAGGAAAGTCGACAGAGGGGGGGGCGGCTAGTGGAGTACTTCGTGACCACAGAGTGTGAACGCTGTGATCAGCTGTTTTAGCGCAGTTCTCCAGTGAAGGGGGGGAGTCTCCCTCCGCCGCCGGTTGGCGTAGTTTTGGCACAATTCCGTTGTCCAGACCGACGTTAACAGCAGCCCTGTCTGTGCACACGGAGACCGACTCTGTCGTCCGGTGATCTAACCGCCTTCTGGAAAAGCTTCACAAGTACGTCGGTACGCAAATGCGCTTTGTGACACAAGTGACGGTACGCATTTCAGATTACGCACATAACCTGCGTACCAGTTATGTGCACCCCTGTACTACAGCAAAAGTATTCTCCGTCGGGACTTCCTGCAACAACACCACGCCGTTATCAAAGATGTTCTATTGAGAAGACGATTACTACGTGACAAAAGTTTTCAAAACCGTGGCTACTGAAATCAATCTTACTAACTGCTGTCTGTGCAATTTACTCCGCGCGAGTTGGCAGACTTTATTTTGCTTACTTTCACATCATTTTTCATGGTGGGGCTAAGCCATTTCTTGGTATGGGTGTAGCCTACCCCAGCCATACCCTGGCGCTGCCACTGGTAGCACGTATGGGGCGGGCCATTCTGCACATGCGTTAAATGCGTTAAATATTTTAACGCAATTAATTCAAAAAATTAATTACCGCCGTTAACGCGATAATTTTGACAGCACTAATTTAAAGGTGTTGTTTACCCGTATCCGGCCAGGAAGCCCAGACTGGGAGGACTGACTTTATCACTGAACACAAACAGCTGAAGCCCCGCCTCCCGCCTGTCACTCAGTGAGGCCCCGCCCCCAATGGGCACCAGGCTGGCAGCCGGTTGGTCGACGATCCACCAGTCCTGGATCTCTTGGCTCTGATTGGTCGAGCGCTCCAGGGCCAGCAGGATGTCTTTGTATCGGCCGTCTGATTGGAGCAGAGAGGGGACTGGTTTTAGACTGGTTATAATGTGATATGATGGTATTATCATAACGTGTGTGTGTGTGTGTGTGTGTGTGTGTGTGTGTGTGTGTGTGTGTGTGTGTGTGTGTGTGTGTGTGTGTGTGTGTGTGTGTGTGTGTGTGTGTGTGTGTGTGTGTGTGTGTGTGTGTGTGTGTGTGTGTGTGTGTGTGTGTGTGTGTGTGTGTGTGTGTGTGTGTTTGTGAAACCTGAGTAGAGCTGCTCGATGGGTTTGGAGTTGGAGTCGCTCGGAGCTCGAAGGAAACATGGAAACACTTCCTGTATGACCCTGAACACACACACACACACACACAGTGAACACACACACAGTGAACACACACACACACACACACACAGTGAACACACACACAGTGAACACACACACAGTGAACACACACACACTTCTTCACACACACCACACTAAGCCCCGCCCCCTGTACTCACACAGGAAGTGACCTCGTCCCATTCAGCAGCTGGATCAGCTCCAGGCGGGTCTGATCGTCCAGGTAGGTCACATGTTTACCTGAGGCAAGCTCCGCCTTCGCCCCCAGACTCAGGTTCCTATTGGGCAACCAACATCAGACTGGGACCATTACAGAGTACTCACGTTTGATTGGTTGATTATTGTTTGTTTGTTTGTTTGATTGATTGAATCAATGTTTGATTGATTAGTTAATATCTGATATTAACCTCTGTATGGTCCAGGACAGCGTCAGCGGGAAGCTCTCCAGGTAGAGCACCTGGCTCAGGTACGCCCGGCTGGGGGGGCTGATGGTCCACAAAGAGTTGCTGCTACCCTGCAGCTCCGCCACCGTCACGTCCTCCTGGCTGTAGGCCTCCAGGAACTGCAAAGCACTCTGGGAAACACAGGTGTCACAGTCACTCACAGGTGTGTAGTATCACTTACAGGTGTGTAGTATCACTTACAGGTTTCTAGTATCACTTACAGGTGTGTAGCATCACTTACAGGTGTGTAGCATCAGGTGTGTAGCATCAGGTGTGTAGCATCACTTACAGGTGTGTGGCATCACTTACAGGTGTGTAGCATCACTTACAGGTGTGTAGCATCACTTACAGGTGTGTAGCATCAGGTGTGTAGCATCAGGTGTGTAGCATCACTTACAGGTGTGTGGCATCACTTACAGGTGTGTAGCATCAGGTGTGTAGCATCACTTACAGGTGTGTAGCATCAGGTGTGTAGCATCACTTACAGGTGTGTAGCATCAGTTGTATAGCATCAGGTGTGTAGCATCACTTACAGGTGTGTAGCATCAGGTGTGTAGCATCACTTACAGGTGAGTAGCATCACTTACAGGTGTGTAGCATCACTTACAGGTGTTTAGCATCAGGTGTGTAGCATCAGGTGTGTAGCATCACTTACAGGTGTGTAGCATCAGTTGTATAGCATCAGGTGTGTAGCATCACTTACAGGTGTGTAGCATCAGGTGTGTAGCATCACTTACAGGTGTGTAGCATCACTTACAGGTGTGTAGCATCACTTACAGGTGAGTAGCATCACTTACAGGTATGTAGCATCAGGTGTGTAGCATCACTTACAGGTGAGTAGCATCACTTACAGGTGTGTAGCATCACTTACAGGTGTGTAGCATCAGTTGTATAGCATCAGGTGTGTAGCATCACTTACAGGTGTGTAGCATCACTTACAGGTGTGTAGCATCACTTACAGGTGTGTAGCATCACTTACAGGTGAGTAGCATCACTTACAGGTATGTAGCATCAGGTGTGTAGCATCACTTACAGGTGAGTAGCATCACTTACAGGTGTGTAGCATCACTTACAGGTGTGTAGCATCACTTACAGGTGTTTAGCATCAGGTGTGTAGCATCAGGTGAGTAGCATCAGGTGTGTAGCATCACTTACAGGTGAGTAGCATCACTTACAGGTGTGTAGCATCACTTACAGGTGTGTAGCATCAGGTGTGTAGCATCACTTACAGGTGTGTAGCATCAGGTGTGTAGCATCACTTACAGGTGTGTAGCATCAGGTGTGTAGCATCACTTACAGGTAGGCTGTAGGAGCTGCTGAAGGAGCTGAAGTCGTCCTCCGTCAGGTCTCTGAGCTGGTTCTGCTGAGCACTCATCGTGAAGATTGGCTGAGACAACAACAAGTGAGTGTACAGGTGAGTGTGCAGGTGATTATACAGGTGAGTCTACAGGTGTGTGTACAGGTGAGTGTACAGGTGAGTGTACAAGTGAGTCTACAGGTGTGTCTACAGATGAGTGTACAGTGTGTCTATAGGTGTGTCTACAGGTGAGTGTACAAGTGAGTGTACAGTGTGTCTATAGGGGAGTGTACAGGTGTGTCTACAGGTGAGTGTATACAGGTGTGTATACAGGTGAGTGTACAGGTGTGTATACAGGTGTGTGTACAGGTGAGTGTACAGGTGTGTAAACAGGTGTGTGTACAGGTGTGTGTACAGGTGAGTGTACAGGTGTGTATACAGGTGTGTGTACAGGTGTGTGTACAGGTGAGTGTACAGGTGTGTGTACAGGTGAGTGTACAGGTGTGTATACAGGTGTGTCTACAGGTGAGTGTACAGGTGTGTCTACAGGGGAGTGTACGGGTGTGTTTACAGGTGTGTTTACCTGGAACCCGCCCAGTGTGATGGTCAGAGAGACATCGATTGGTCGGTTGTTGACGCCGGCAACAGACTTAACGAGAGACATGAAGAGCAGCGGGAACCAGACGATGCAGATCAGCAGCAGAACGATCAGACCCCCCATCCCGTACTTCACTACCCTCTTCTTCTTCTGACCACGAGGCTGCGGGTACCTCTGCGTACAAGTATACACAATACACAAACATCAGGTACTACCATGTACAAGTACACACTACACATTCAGTATAGCTACAGATACACACACTCAGAGGTTGCGCTAGACTTTTTCGCTGCCCGTCATTTTGACGGACAGGATCGTAAAACGTCCGTCAAAATCCAGAATTACCCGTCGGCCTTTACACAACTCTGACGAGGGGGAGGGGGGGGGGAAGCATGCTCGTGAACTGTCAACGGGGGGGGGGGGGAAGCATGCGCCGTGTTATGCATGGCTGCTGCACCTCGCGGGAACGTGCACATCATAAAGCCAAAACTCACAGACATTTCAATGATCTGTACAGCACAGTTAGGTTTGGAAACGGTATAATTTCCTTTTTGGAGGGCATGCATAACACCGGAGCCTCGCTGCTGGGAAACGTTGGCGCTGTTCCGAGTTTGTTCTAATCTGTCAAAATGACGGACTGCTTTCAGATTTGTCCGTCATTGTTAATATAAATCCGTCATAGACGGAAAATATTCGGTTAACGCGACCTCTGCACACACTACACACACAGTACAGGTGAGTGGTCAGGTAACCTTCTCAGACTCCCTCCAGCACTTGAGCACGAAGCAGTGCGCGTACACGTCCTCCACACAGATCCAGGAGGACAGAGACAGAGTGGTGTCCGTCCAGACCCAGTCCATCACAGCCCGGAGCTCCGTCAGGAAGGGGACCAGACGGAAACTACAGGGAGAGACACACAGGGGGACAGACAGACAGGGGGACAGACAGACAGGTGGAGAGACACACAGGGGGACAGACAGACAGGTGGAGAGATACACAGGTGGACAGACAGGTAGACAGATGGACAGACAGATAGAGAGACAAGTAGAGACAGACAGGTAGAGAGACAAGTAGAGACAGACAAGTAGAGACAGACAGGTACACAGACAGTGATGAAAGACAGATGGGGTGTGTCAGGTAATGTCTCTGAAAATCATGATGTTCAAATGTTGATGATTCAGGTCTTAGTGCTAAGCTAGGCTAACAGTTAAAACAGCTAACCCTGATTCCAGTCTTAATGCTAAGCTAGGCTAACAGATGACTCACCCCTGGAACAGGAAGAGGTTCAGGTAGTTGTGGCTCTTCGTCAGGAAGTTCCCCAGAACTCGTGTGGGGTATCCAGATCGAATCTGATAGGCCGACAGGCCGAAGTACACACACTTCACAAAGTACCAGAGCTGAGCCACCAGGTTCTGATTAAACCTTCTGCAGACAGGCAGACAGACAGACAGGCAGTCAGACAGACAGACAGACAGAGAGACAGACAGACAGAGAGACAGACAGACAGACAGACAGAGAGACAGACAGACAGACAGAGAGACAGACAGACAGAGAGACAGACAGACAGAGAGACAAACAGGCAGACAGACAGACAGACAGACAGACAGAGTGACAGACAGAGTGACAGTCAGACAGACAGACAGACAGAGAGACAGACAGACAGACAGAGAGACAGACAGACAGACAGAGAGACAAACAGGCAGACAGACAGAGAGACAGACAGACAGACAGACAGAGAGACAAACAGGCAGACAGACAGACAGACAGAGAGACAGATAGACAGACAGACAGACAGATATTAACGAGGTAGCTTCATCATGTTAATTAGCAGCAGGTGAAGGTACCTCTCTGTGACCGTGGGCAGGATGAAGAACATCCAGAAGTGAATCCCAAACACCAGAAACACCTGGAACACCAACTTCCCCAACACCGTCTTCCTCAGGTACAGAGCCCTGTCTATCACCATGGTACCTGAGACAGGTGAGAGACAAGTGAGAGACAGACAGGTGAGAGACAGACAGGTGAGAGACAGACAGTGAGAGACAGACAGACAGGTAGGCGTACCAAACTGGATCAGCACCATCACCAGGAAGGCTTCAGGGACCTGGTCCTCTGAGAGAGAGGAAGTGATATCAGCGGCTGCTGAGTGTTTCTGAGGAGTCACCAAAATAAAAGCATGAAGCAGAACTCAGGTGATCTACTCTGACAGGTAGAGGTGAGGAACAAAGCGTACCCCGAAGGCCCAGAACCCGAACACGATGACGATGAAGTCCACGGTGTCGCAGAGGAACATCAGGACGTAAACATCTGTGACAGCGCTGTACTCCGGTTGGACCAGAGCTCTGAAGAACTGAAACACCGGCAGGTAGAGGGACATACACCTGAGGGGGGAGGACAGGTATTCAGAGAGAGGGACATACACCTGAGGGGGGAGGACAGGTGTTCAGAGAGAGGGACATACACCCGAGGGAGGAGGACAGGTGTTCAGAGAGAGGGACATACACCCGAGGAAGGAGGACAGGTGTTCAGAGAGAGGGACATACACCTGAGGGGGAGGACAGGTGTTCAGAGAGAGGGACATACACCCGAGGAAGGAGGACAGGTGTTCAGAGAGAGGGACATACACCTGAGGGGGAGGACAGGTGTTCAGAGAGAGGGACATACACCCGAGGAAGGAGGACAGGTGTTCAGAGAGAGGGACATACACCCGAGGGAGGAGGACAGGTGTTCAGAGAGAGGGACATACACCCTAGGGAGGAGGACAGGTGTTCAGAGACATACACCTGAGGGAGGAGGACAGGTGTTCAGAGAGAGGGACATACACCTGAGAGGGGAGGACAGGTGTTCAGAGAGAGGGACATACACCTGAGGGGGGAGGACAGGTGTTCAGAGAGAGGGACATACACCTGAGGGGGAGGACAGGTGTTCAGAGAGAGGGACATACACCCGAGGGAGGAGGACAGGTGTTCAGAGAGAGGGACATACACCTGAGAGGGGAGGACAGGTGTTCAGAGAGAGGGACATACACCTGAGGGGGAGGACAGGTGTTCAGAGAGAGGGACATACACCCGAGGGAGGAGGACAGGTGTTCAGAGAGAGGGACATACACCCGAGGGAGGAGGACAGGTGTTCAGAGAGAGGGACATACACCCGAGGGAGGAGGACAGGTGTTCAGAGAGAGGGACATACACCCTAGGGAGGAGGACAGGTGTTCAGAGACATACACCTGAGGGAGGAGGACAGGTGTTCAGAGAGAGGGACATACACCTGAGAGGGGAGGACAGGTGTTCAGAGAGAGGGACATACACCTGAGGGGGGAGGACAGGTGTTCAGAGAGAGGGACATACACCTGAGGGGGGAGGACAGGTGTTCAGAGAGAGGGACATACACCTGAGGGGGGAGGACAGGTGTTCAGAGAGAGGGACATACACCCGAGGGAGGAGGACAGGTGTTCAGAGACATACACCTGAGGGAGGAGGACAGGTGTTCAGAGAGAGGGACATACACCCGAAGGAGGAGGACAGGTGTTCAGAGAGAGGGACATACACCTGAGGGGGGAGGACAGGTGTTCAGAGAGAGGGACATACACCTGAGGGGGGAGGACAGGTGTTCAGAGAGAGGGACATACACCCGAGGGAGGAGGACAGGTGTTCAGAGACATACACCTGAGGGAGGAGGACAGGTGTTCAGAGAGAGGGACATACACCTGAGGGGGGAGGACAGGTGTTCAGAGAGAGGGACATACACCTGAGGGGGGAGGACAGGTGTTAGCTTCAGTGTTAGCCTCAGTGTTAGCTTCAGTGTTAGCCTCAGTGTTAGCTTCAGTGTTAGCTTCAGTGTTAGCCTCAGTGTTAGCCTCAGTGTTAGCTTCAGTGTTAGCCTCAGTGTTAGCTTCAGTGTTAGCCTCAGTGTTAGCCTCAGTGTTAGCTTCAGTGTTAGCCTCAGTGTTAGCCTCAGTGTTAGATTCAGTGTTAGCCTCAGTGTTAGCCTCAGTGTTAGCTTCAGTGTTAGCCTCAGTGTTAGCTTCAGTGTTAGCCTCCGTGTTAGCCTCAGTGTTAGCTTCAGTGTTAGCCTCAGTGTTAGCTTCAGTGTTAGCCTCAGTGTTAGCTTCAGTGTTAGCTTCAGTGTTAGCGTACCGGCTAACGGAGTGCCTCTTTGCTCTGATGGACAGTTCTCTAAGTTTCTCCAGAAGCAAATCCACTCTGCTGGGCTGCAGGACTTTGGAGCTCAGACTGCCTGGAGACAGACGGAGGGACGGGGTTACAGGGGACAGGAGACCAGAGCTTGAGTCTGTAGGTGCGTTAGATTCTACCTGCAGGAGAGCTTTATGCAACACATTGAGTCTGTGCGTTAGATTCTACCCCCACTGACACTGACCCTCAGCCACATCATAGACTTTATGAAGTACATTAATGCACACAATGTACACAATAACTGTTTTCTTTTTTGTATTACTACTAAATTTTAATCCATATTTTATTACTTTTATTTCTATGTAAATACTGCTATATTTTACTATATTTTTAATTATTTCTAATATTTTGTAATGTTATTTTTAATGTAGCACCAAGTCAAATTCCTCGTACGTGTAAACCTACCTGGTGATAAACCTGATTCTGATTCTGAATGTACCTGCAGGAGACCTCAGCTGGGTGGAGCTGGACCTGGTCCGTCTCCGGACTCGTCTCCGCAGGACCGGGGCGGATGGATCGATGGACGCAGAACCAGAGTCCAGCTGAGAGACACTGGGATGGAGAGCCTCCGTCTCCGTGGTAACAGTCTGGTCCCACAGCCCGTGACACTGAGGAGGAAGAGGGAGGAAACACCTTAATAACTGTGAGTCTGTCCAGGTTCAGTCTGTCCAGGTGGTTCAGTCTGTCCAGGTGGTTCAGTCTGTCCAGGTGGTTCAGTCTGTCCAGGTTCAGTCTGTCCAGGTAGTTCAGTCTGTCCAGGTTCAGTCTGTCCAGGTGGTTCAGTCTGTCCAGGTTTAGTCTGTCCAGGTGGTTCAGTCTGTCCAGGTTCAGTCTGTCCAGGTAGTTCAGTCTGTCCAGGTTCAGTCTGTCCAGGTTCAGTCTGTCCAGGTTCAGTCTGTCCAGGTGGTTCAGTCCGTCCAGGTGCTTGAGTCTGCCCAGGTGGTTCAGTCTGTCCAGATTCAGTCTGTCCAGATTCAGTCTGTCCAGGTGGTTCAGTCTGTCCAGGTTCTGTCTGTCCAGGTGGATCAGTCTGTCCAGGTGGATCAGTCTGTCCAGGTGGATCAGTCTGTCCAGATTCAGTCTGTCCAGGTGGTTCAGTCTGTCCAGGTGGATCAGTCTGTCCAGGTGGTTCAGTCTGTCCAGGTGGTTCAGTCTGTCCAGGTGGTTCAGTCTGTCCAGGTGGATCAGTCTGTCCAGGTGGTTCAGTCTGTCCAGGTGGTTCAGTCGGTCCAGGTGGATCAGTCTGTCCAGGTGGTTCAGTCTGTCCAGGTGGTTCAGTCTGTCCAGGTGGTTCAGTCGGTCCAGGTGGATCAGTCTGTCCGGGTGGTTCAGGTGGTTCAGTCTGTCCAGGTGGTTCAGTCTGTCCAGGTGGATCAGTCTGTCCAGGTCGTTTAGTCTGTCCAGGTGGATCAGTCTGTCCAGGTGGTTCAGGTGGTTCAGTCTGTCCAGGTGGTTCAGTCTGTCCAGGTGGATCAGTCTGTCCAGGTCGATCAGTCTGTCCAGGTCGTTTAGTCTGTCCAGGTGGATCAGTCTGTCCAGGTGGATCAGTCGGTCCAGGTGGATCAGTCTGTCCAGGTGGATCAGTCTGTCCAGGTGGTTCAGTCTGTCCAGGTGGTTCAGTCGGTCCAGGTGGATCAGTCTGTCCAGGTGGATCAGTCTGTCCAGGTGGATCAGTCTGTCCAGGTGGTTCAGTCTGTCCAGGTGGATCAGTCTGTCCAGGTGGTTCAGTCGGTCCAGGTGGATCAGTCTGTCCAGGTGGTTCAGTCGGTCCAGGTGGATCAGTCTGTCCAGGTGGTTCAGTCTGTCCAGGTGGTTCAGTCGGTCCAGGTGGATCAGTCTGTCCAGGTGGTTCAGTCTGTCCAGGTGGTTCAGTCTGTCCAGGTGGTTCAGTCTGTCCAGGTCGTTTAGTCTGTCCAGGTGGATCAGTCTGTCCAGGTGGTTCAGTCTGTCCAGGTGGTTCAGTCTGTCCAGGTGGATCAGTCTGTCCAGGTGGTTCAGTCTGTCCAGGTGGATCAGTCTGTCCAGGTGGTTCAGTCTGTCCAGGTGGATCAGTCTGTCCAGGTTCAGTGAGTAAGCATGTTTACCTTGAGTTAGCTTGTTTACCTTGTGTTACTCTGTTAGCATGTTGACCTATAGTTAGCCTGTTAGCATGTTACCTTGAGGATAGCGCGGTGGTAGAACAGAGCTAGCAGCTGCAGCAGGTCGTACAGGACGTACGCCTCTTTCTTCTCCACCCCCAGGATGTTGGGGGGGTGGAAGGGTTTGGAGCGGTCCACCTCCAGCTTCTTGTTGAAGGGGAAGAACCCGAACTGGAAGAAGTACTTGATGACGATGGTGACCTGAGGACAGACGGGAGGTGAGACACTGAGCTTCTGGAAGAAGGATAATAAGGTTTAATAGAGAGTGAACCTCGGTGTAGATGATGGCTGTCATCCAGAAGGTCTTGCTGGGCCTGGGGACGGACAGCGTGGCCCAGAGGAACACCAGCACCGGCAGGACCAGAGTCAGACAGCTGGCTGACACCATGTGGTTCAGCACGATCACCAGGAAGCACACCGTCTCAGACCTGTAGGAACCAGAACCAGAGTCACCTGGGTATCTACTGGACTCTGACCAAAATATTCCTAGTGGTCAAATGGAGGTACTACGATTTCCGTATCAGTCCGTGACGTCACTGGGACAGAAAGACTTTCTCCCATTGACTAACATTGGGAAAGAGACGTCTGTAAATCAGCGGATCATTTTTTTAACTAGATAAACTACCCAGTAGTACGAACACTTTTATAGCCCTTATTAGAATCATTAGGTCCTTAAAGTTAGGGTTCAGAGCTCACCTGGCGGCCAGGATGTTGTACAGAGCGTAGCAGATCTGCAGCAGCTGGTGCTGGTCTGCGTAGAATCTGTCCGACGCCTCCAGCTGCTCGTCGTAGAAGGTCCTGGAACAGGAAGTGGATCAGTTTTTACCTGTTGGGTTTGTTTCTGCTCCTGATGTTCAGTTCTCTGGTTCTGACCCATTATGTTATCTGACCTGATCTGATCTGAACTCACCTGCTCCTCAGCAGATCGCTGGCCGTCAGATCCTGAGCCCGAGACACCGCCGGACAGGAAGTGGAGTCAGACAGGAAGTCACTCCTCTCCCCAAAACCCTCCCCCTCCTGCAGGTCCAATCCCAGGGCCAGGCTGTATGAGGGGGGGAGGAAGAGGGAGGAGGGGGAGGGGGAGGGGGGCTTCGGTTCCTCGAAACTGTTCAGAAAGAAACAGATTTAAAGGTCTTTTCTACATCACCATGTGTCCCCGGTGTGTCCCCGGTGTGTCAGGAGACTCTCAAAGTGATGTCTTCTCTACATCACCATGTGTCCCCGGTGTGTCAGGAGACTCTCAAAGTGATGTCTTCTCTACATCACCATGTGTCCCCGCTGTGTCCCCCATGTGTCCCCCCGGTGTGTCCCCGGTGTGTCCCTGTTCCCCCCCCGGTGTGTGTCCGGTGTGTGTCCGGTGTGTGTCCGTGTGTCCCCGTGTGTCCCCGGTGTGTCAGGAGACTCACAAAGTGTCAGGAAATAAACCCTCTCTCTTTTCCTCCGTACCCACATCTCTAAAAACGGGGACCAACGGAGCTGATCCAGATTTGCTGCGTCATGACGACATTACTAAAATGTGGGCGGGCTTTACCCCCACGGGCCAATCAGAAACGTTGCTGTCAGAAACAATGAGACGTGTTCTGGAAGTAATATGGTCTGTGTTTACATTAGCATGCTAACACTCAGAGCTAACCTGTACTGGAGGAGAACTTGGATAAACATCTATTGGAAGACGGACCGACCTGTAAGCCGGACTCATCCGGTCCTGGTCTGAAGACGAGGAGGAGGATGAAGATCGGACCCTCTCCATCCGGGACAGTGTGGGTCTCCGGGTTCTGATCAGGAGGCATTCTGGGCAATCTTCATATTGAACCTCCACTGCTGTATCCTCTTCTGTCTCTGGTTCAGCTCCTGAGCAGGGACCATCTCCACCTGGTCCTGGTTCTGGACCAACTCCACCTGGTCCTGGTTCTGGACCATCTCCACCTGGTCCTGGTTCTGGACCCCCTCCAGCTGGTCCTGGTTCTGGACCATCTCCACCTGGTCCTGGTTCCGGACCCTCTCCACCTGGTCCTGGTTCTGGACCATCTCCTCCTGGTCCTGGTTCTGGACACTCTCCACCTAGTCCTGGTTCTGGACCCTCTCCACCTGGTCCTGGTTCTTCTTCATTCGTATCCAGAGGACTCACCTCCTCTGGTCCTCTCTCTGCTGAGGTCTGCCCCTCGGCCTCATGGGAACTGTAGTTCAGGCCGGATTCTCTGGAGGCCTTCAGGATCTGTCTCTGGTAGTAAACATGGATCGCGTCTCTAGTGGGAACATTACCCTGAAGGAACAAACAGAGAACAGGTTCTCAGCTGTGATTTGAGCCTCCATCTTTGTGGTGGTTCCTTCTGTAGTCCTTTACCTGTTTAGCCTGCTGTGTTAGCATGCAGTGCTCGATGCGCAGAACTGTTGAGATGTCGATGTGTTCCTGACACAGACCTCTGAGCCAGGCAGTCAGAGAGTCCAGCAGCGCAGACAGCAGAACCCAACAGAACCGCATCGTGTAGGAGAACCGGCGCAGCACTGTGTCTGAAACAGAGAACAGAAACTGACAGAACCACAACATGTAGGAGAACCACAACATGTAGGGAGAATCCGAGAACCACAACATGAAGGAGAACCACAACCACAACATGTAGGAGAACCACAACATGTAGGAAAACAGGCGCAGCACCGTGTCTGAAGGTGAGGTAGGGACGGTGTGCTGGTTCTTACTTTAGGAACATAGTCCTCAGACCTGTTCACCAGAGTTTGGGGAAAGGTTTGAACACCACAAGAACATCAGGTTCTGGTTCTAGCTGTAGTGGAAATTATGTGTTGGAGAATATGGAAAGGCAAGTTTTGTTCACACCACACAGAGCCGGGGTGGTACTGCGTCATTGCCTCATTGTTTGCGTCATGACGTAACCGTTTACGTGCCTGCTTCATAAAAGCCAAACCGCGCGGAAATCCCTCACATCGACAACAACAACAACATAGGACCCTGGGAACTTAGAGAACTAGGAACTTAAGCTCCTGGGAACTTAGAGAACTAGGAACTTAGGACTCTGGGAACTTAGGGAACTGGGAACTTGGGACCCTGGGAACTTAGAGAACTGGGAACTTAGGACTCTGGGAACTTAGGACCCTGGGAACCTAGAACTCTAGGAACTTAAGCCCCTGGGAACCTAGAACTCTAGGAACTTAAGCCCCTGGGAACTTAGAGGACTGGGAACTTAGGTCTCTGGGAACTTAGGGAACTGGGAACTTGGGACCCTGGGAACTTAGAGAACTGGGAACTTAGGACTCTGGGAACTTAGGACTCTGGGAACTTAGGACCCTGGGAACTTAGAGAACTAGGAACTTAGGTCTCTGGGAACTTAGGGAACTGGGAACTTGGGACCCTGGGAACTTAGAGAACTGGGAACTTAGGACTCTGGGAACTTAGGGAACTGGGAACTTTGGACCCTGGGAACTTAGAGAACTGGGAACTTAGGACTCTGGGAACTTAGGACTCTGGGAACTTAGGACTCTGGGAACTTAGGACTCTAGGAACTTAAGACCCCGGGAACTTAGGGAACTGGGAACTTAGAAAACTGGGAACTTAGGACCCTGGGAACTTAGAGAACTGGGAACTTACAACCCTGGGAACATCGGACCCTGGGAACATCGGACCCTGGGAACTTAGGACACTAGGAACTTAGGACTCTGGGAAATTAGGACCCTGGGAACTTAGGACTCTGGGAACTTAGGACCTGGGAACTTAGGACCCTGGGAACTTAGATAACTGGGAACTTAGAAAACTGGGAACTTAGGATCCTGGGAACTTAGAGAACTGGGAACTTAGGACCCTGGGAACGTAGGACCCTGGGAACATAGGACCCTGGGAACTTAGGACCCTGGGAACTTAGGACTCTAGGAACTTAGGACTCTAGGAACTTAGGACCCTGGGAACATAGGACCCTGGGAACTTAGGACTCTAGGAACTTACGACACTAGGAACTTAGGACCCTGGGAACATAGGACCCTGGGAACTTAGGACCCTGGGAACTTAGGACTCTAGGAACTTAGGACCCTGGGAACGTAGGACCCTGGGAACATAGGACCCTGGGAACTTAGGACTCTAGAAACTTAGGACCCTGGGAACTTAGGACTCTGGGAACTTAGGACCCTGGGAACTTAGGACCCTGGGAACATAGGACCCTGGGAACTTAGGACCCTAGGAACTTAGGACCCTGGGAACTTAGGACTCTGGGAACTTAGGACTCTAGGAACTTAGGACCCTGGGAACGTAGGACCCTGGGAACATAGGACCATGGGAACTTAGGACTCTAGGAACTTAGGACCCTGGGAACTTAGGACTCTGGGAACTTAGGACCCTGGGAACTTAGGACTCGAGGAACTTATGACTCTAGGAACTTAGGACCCTGGGAACTTAGAGAACTGGGAACTTAGACAACTGGGAACTTAGGACTCTGGGAATTAAGGGCAAATGGCGTCAAATGGACAAAATTAACATTGAAACTGATGACGGAATGGCTTGATGCGTCTCAATGGAAATGATACTCCAATTGCCGTTCAGTTTAGTGTATTAGCATTGACAAGAAAATTATTCATTTGGACACAAGTGTAATACGTTCAAATTCCAATAGATGAAGCTCCAACATCATTTAAGTTTGATGGACCAGTGATGTCTGTAAATATTTTAATTAAACATTTTGCCTGACTTTTTGACATTAATTTACCCGTGTTTCCAACACTATTTCTGGGTAAACATTGTATCTTCTCCCCCTGGATGTGTCTGTCCTGAATTAAAACAGTTTCCCCGAATTTTAACATTAATCCAACCATGTTTAGAAGACTTTTCTCCACGTAACATTTGCGTGTGTGTACAGTGGGTGTGTCTCCCTCTATTCACGCCACTTCTGCCCGCGTTTCGTGAAGCAGCCTGTCCCCTGGGTGCGCTCTGTGGCTCTCACAGCCCGCTGCTCTCTCCCTGTATTCACAGCACTTTCCCCCGCCTTTCACACACTTATTCCTGGGTAGGAAAGCCATGTGCATCACCCTGGAGCTCTGCCTAGGTGCCTTGAGTGTGAGACCCTGCTTACAGCAGTGAACCTGCTGCCAGCATTACAAACATATTAATCAGGCGTTTTAACACTTTTTTTTCTCCATGAAAATGATTTTTATTCACTATTATGGGGCTATATAAATCAAATTCTGGGTAATTAGGAGCACAATTGTACTTTTTACTATTTAAATGTATTTGTATTATATATTTTTGGGCTATTAAAGGGACATTTCTGGGTGACTTTGTCAGTTTCTGGAGCTTAGCCCACAATTCCTGGAGGTTCCAGGCCGAATTTGGGAGCTCATAGGCGGCCTGCCATAAGCCCCCACCCGTGGAAAGCAGAAAAAAGTAAAGAAAACGGTCAATTATATCTTAAAATAATAACAAAATTATTTTAATAAAAAAAATTCTCGAAAAAATGACAGAGCGCCAACGGAGGAGGGGCTCCAAAAAGCTAAATTCTTTGGCGCTTCGGGCCGAAGCCCGGACACTTTTGCACTCCCCCGTTGCATTTACAACGGAGAGGGGAATCGAGACCTCCCCTCCTCCGTAAAAAAAAATTAATTCATGTTTTTCAAGCTACCATCCGCACGAAATCGGAAACCCGGTTTTTGAGAGGAAACGGCTGTTTCACATCATGGAGGAATGTGTCCGCTACATGAGTGCTTTGGCTCGGATACAATTGTTGCATGGAGACCCCCCAGTATGATTCTTACCAAACTTTAAGTTTTTGAACTGGTCTCTGGAGGAATGCAAGGGGAGTTGTCAGGGAATTATGAGACACTATTTTGGGATACAATTTCTCCATTTGCACCCCTTTTCTATGGTTCTTCCAAAAGTTAACTTAAACTTTTTCTCACTCTGGAGGAATGTAAGGAGAGTTGTCAGGGGACTCTACCCGCCTTAAGAGACACTATTTTCGGATACAATTGATCCATTTTCACCCCTTTTCTATGGTTCTTCCAAAAGTTAACTTAAACTTTTTCTCATTTCTCACTGATCGAATGGCAAACGCGACCCGCCATCGGAGGGCCTCCGCCGGCCCGGCCTCGTGCCGGTGCTCTGGTGGTCGGTTCCTCCGAACTGCGGGTTCGACTCTGATGGCTGGGAGGGTGTGCTGCGTGGGGGTAACCCTGCGTGTCTCTTCCCTCCCGGGCCGCCCGATATGAAGCGTGACCAAGACGAACCGTCTGACTCAGGGGTCCCACCACGGGTCCCGCAGCGGGGTGGAGGTTCCGGGCTGGAACCTCCCCACCTCCGCTGCGGTGCGCCCGTTCAACACTGTTGTTTCTAGAACCCTCCACTGTTGCATAGCGGCCTTCGTCGGCTGCGGCATTGAGCAATCGGCCTTGTTCCGGGCACCGGTTCCCCCCATCCTCCGTGACCACATATGCATGTCTATAAAAGGGTGGTGGATCACTCGGCCCGTGCGTCGATGAAAAACATCGACACCCCCCTGTTCCTCCCAGGGCTACGCCTGTCTGAGGGTCGCTTTGCCATCAATCGGAGAACGTTCGCGTTTCTCCGTGGCTGGGGCGTAGCAGGCGGTCCAGGCCGCCTTCGTCCCCCTGAGTGTAGACGTTTCAAGATGTCCGGTGCGGTTGCGTGGGCCCCTGGTCCTCCCTCCTCTCCGTTGGCGCAAACTCCCTTTTTCCACCTCTCACGTCCGGGTCCTCGGGTCCGGGCGTCCCGTCGGGCTCGCCTCTGTGCGTGCGCGGCTGCTGGTGGACTTTCAGTCTCCGCGCTGCCCGCATTCTGCCTGGCTTGCCGTGTACGGGTGTCGTTTGAGGAGAGAGGGGGGTGCCAGCGGAGGTTGGGTCGGGTCAGAGACTCACCTCCAACGCTGCAGCGGAGCACTAGACTCAGGGGAAAGCTGTGAGCCTCTCTCTGGGCGCACCTCGGTGCGCGCTGGGAGAGCCACGTAGTGTCGTCCTCCGGGGCGCTCCACATTCGACTACGACCTCAGATCAGACGAGACAACCCGCTGAATTTAAGCATATTACTAAGCGGAGTAAAATAAACTAACCAGGATTCCCTCAGTAGTGGCGAGCAAAGAGGGAAGAGCCCAGCGCTGAATCCCCGTCCAACGGGCAGATTGGGGAAATGTGGCGTATGGAAGACCTTCTGATCGAGGCTCAGCCCATGGACGGACGTCTCACACCCCGGTGCTCTCTCCCTCTGTTCACAGCACTTTCCCCCACCTTTCAAACACTTATTCCTGTGTAGGAAAGCCATGTGCATCACACTTGTGTCTAAAAGGATTAATGGCCTGGTCCAGCCCGGGTGTTTCTCAACAGCTTGAATATCAAGAAAGCAACCTGCAACTTAAAGGAATTGACGGAAGCGCACCACCAGGAGTGGAGCCTGCGGCTTAATTTGACTCAACACGGGCAACCTCACCCAGCCCGGACACGGAAAGGATTGACAGACCATCTTCTAACTGACACTGCTTCTAATAATACTTTATGATGTGCTGACA